CCGGACCCCAAGCGTCCGGACCACCGTGCCCGGACCGAGGCCGGCCAAAATTCAGCGACGTCCACAGCGTCCGGACCCACAGCGTCCGGACCCCGAGCCGGCCACCATTCCGCCGGCGTCCACAGCGTCCGGACCCACAGCGTCCGGACCCCGAGCCGGCCGCCACAGCCGGCGACGCCACCGGGCTGCGGCGGCGACGCGCCTCATTTGAGTGGGGTCGTATTTCAGATGTCGACGCGCCTGCCCCCCCCCCCCCCTCCCCTGTCGCCGGCTTTCAGGGGGAGGTGTCCCCGCGCGGCCGGTGTCGACAAAGCGGGGCAGATTACAGGCGGCCGTACAGCCTGGCTGCGCTGCCTCTGAATGCCATTAACCCCCTCGGTGGCCGGCGTCACCCCTTCTGATTTGCATAGGGCCGGGCCAGCCAATGGCAGGGGAGTCGCCGGCCGCGCGCGATTGTGATTGGCTGTTGCCTGACTGCGGCGATCGCCGGCGGGCCGGCGGAAGGGGGACGGACACGGACGGGTGACCGGGATCAGCTGACCCGCCTCGCGGCAAACATGGCTGACCAGGGACCTCGGCCCAGCGGCAGAGCTGGCCGACCGGTGACCTCTGGCTCACCGCATACATGGCAGGACAGGCGTCTCTGCATTACAGCAGACATGGCGGACCGTGGAGCCCCATGCGAAACAGCAGACGTCACGCCTCTGACCTCTAAAAGAGACTATGTTCTCACAGGTTAGCCATGTCTGATGCCTGACATGAGACATGGATGACTAACCCCTATCTATCCATGCACCGAAAACCGACACTGTCTTTCGCACATTTGCGCCACAATTCTCACTGTATTACGAGCGTCCACCATTCGCCCCCACTAAGCGTGGAGGAGGCAGCTGACGGTGGCGCCATCTGCCAACGACGCTGCTGGGATCCGGGGCCGATTTTTGCCGTGCCTTCGGCTAAATGGTTGCCTCAATGACGTCCGGCAGCGGGCCGACCGGCTCCTTTTTCGTCTGCTCTCGGCCAGCAGGGCGGTGGGGGGGGGGGGGGGGGGGGGAGGAAGAGAGCTTAGCTGGTGCTGGAGTGGTCGGACTTAGAAGAGATGCCAGATGATACCGCAGTACTGGCAGCCAGTGCCGAACATTCTCGCGTCGGCGGTACTAAAGTACCACCGGTGCTTTAGATTCTGCTGTTCTCATTTGTGTTTGTTTACGTTTCTGTTTCTGCTCAGAGTATGTTCGGGAGCGCGATTCAATACGCTCATTGAAATGATTGAGAAAAACGCTGCCTGGGCAGACAACACCAGAAGTTTCCATGTTTAGGGCGACATCGCATGGAAAACATCCAAAACTGGTGCCAGCCGGGCGTCTAGCTAGAGCTGTCTGCTCCAGGCCGGTGTCCATGCGTCTGGCCTGGTAGCCTGGTAGCAACGGTACGCCTGGGGCTTGGCAGCCTGGTAGCAACTGGGATGCCTGGTAGCCCTGGTAGCGATAGTATGCCTGGGGCCTGGTAGCCTGGTAGCAACTGGGATGCGGGCCACCCCATCCCAGTTGGAAGTTGGAAACACCACCGCAATTGGAAGTCGGTGGCGCGGACTGGGAACGTCAGCGATTTCATGATGCAGCGAACCTTTCGATAGCTCAGGGTATGCTAAATGCAGGGATGCTTAGGATGAAAGTTCTGGCATCGTCTTTCAGACAGCCAGCGAACTTATGGAGGAGGGAGCACAGCCGGTTATGCATGAGAAATAGTTTTCAGTTTTTTACTGTGAAAGAAACGGAACATCCCGCGTTCTACATTGTGAAACTACCCACACGATGTCATAATCAACGCTGCGAAGTCTTCTCATTTGGCCAGAATGGTCTGCAATTGAACAATATCACATCAGATTGTGAGAATTCCTTCTTCGAGCATTGAACATCTATTTCCACCATTGATCCCCTCCCCGCCCCCGTCGGGACGATAACGTCCGGCACCTCCCCCCCCCCCGTTCCGGCCCCGCTGCCTCCAAATCCCACCAGATTTGGAGGGGCGGGGGGGGGGGGGGGCGGCACGCGCGAGGCGCTGGTCCAATCTCTCCCGACCTCCCGCAATAATCGGATTGTACTGTGCCCGGCTGCGTCGGGCTTCGCCGCGCGCGCGTATACCCGCTATATTGTGACGGGTGCAAGCCCGACCCGGGGCGCGACACCCGAGGGTTTCGGCCTCTTGCGGGTCTTCGACGCGTAAACCCTCAACAGCATCGAAACCTGTCAGGTGCCGGTGTGGTCGCGTGCTGCGGCGCGTCTCCGTCGGTAAGCTGCTTCACGGCCGGCTCGCTGACAGCTGATGATGCCCGGTCGACGCCGGATTGGCCAGCTTTGGGCGGTTGAACTGCTTCCTCGTGCTCGTGGCGCAGTGTCCAGCCATTTCTTCCGGGCTGCGCTCGGTGGCTGCTATGGGCGCGGTTTGTTGCGTTTGGCGCGGCGTCCAGCCCACCCTTCCGCTCTGCGCTCGGTGGCTGATGCTGGTTGTGCGTCTGGCGGGCGTCCACCATCCTTCCTCTTGCGCTCGTATGGCGGGTTTGTTGCGTCTGGCGCGGCGTCCAGACAATCCTTCCGCTTGCGCTGTTGTGGGCGTGTGGGTCTGCGTCCACATCTTCCCTGGGCTCGGTGGTGTGTGGGCGTGTTGTCTGGGCGGCGTCAGACAATCTTCCGCTTGCGCGGTGTCGGGCGGGTTGCGCGTCTGGCGCGGTGTCCAGCTGCGGGGCAACCTCGAATCTTACGCCCAGAAATAAGTTTTGATGACATTGCCCTACGACAGCGCAGGAACTGTGCATGCAATAAACATATTGAAAGTAATGACTGCGGGTTTTCTGCATGGCCTCAATGTTAACACCAATCGCACCTATTAATTCCTTTTGTAATTTGCATTGTAATAACAATATACAACATAGCATGTTATATCACACTTTTATAATGATACGTTATATATCTTTATATTTTTACAGACACAACGCTCATACTTGGACAAACTTACAGGAACTATTGCTAATTACAAGTGCCAACCTTAAATGCATTGTGGATTGTTGCGACACGGCCGTGGAACAGAAGGTATAGAATGGGTATGCCCAACCCATAAACCCCCGAAAGTAACAGGTAACAGTCTTGTGGTCATCCGGAGCCGGTGCCCCACTCACCAACGGGTGGCTGAGCAATCATTCAGCTTGTAAAACTTGTACAAATATGTAAAACTCGTGGTAAAACTTGTAAAACACCTTTTCGGCTATAGCTGAATGTGCCGAACAAATTCATTTGGTGAACAAAACGTGCAATGAGAAACTTTACGATGTGGATCCCCTCGGATTGTTCAGTCTCAAATCACGTCCAGCTGGTCATCCCGTGCGTCTGGCACGTTTTATTCGGCAATATGAAGTGACCGCCTGACTGATGTTGGCGCGTACGTGTTTGCGGCAGGCCAGAATAACTGGGCAGACTGGTGTGTTGTGTGTTCAACAGGTCTGGACTCCCCGGCTGACTGTGTGTGTGTCTGTGTGCGCCCAACAGGCCTGGACTTCCGTCGGGCGGTGGTATGAAGGAGGAGCCGCTGGAGGAGGGCGGTCGGCCCGGCGCCAGCAGTCCGCCGCCGCCACTGCCCGACATGGGCCTGCTGCAGCACCTGCCCGCCGCCCACCTGGGCCTGCTGGGCCAGCACAGCGGCCTGCTGCCGCCGGCCGCGCTGCAGGCGGCGCTCATGGCCAGCCTGGCCGCCCAGCAGGCCAGCCAGCTGCAATACCAGCAGGCGCTGCTGGGGCCGGCGGCGCGCCTGCCGCCCCACCTGGCGCCGCCGCCGCACAGCACCGCCGGCCAGCTGCTGGGCTTCCACCAGCGCGAGACGCTGCTGGCCTGGTCCAAGCTGGCGGCGCAGAGCAGCGCGGCGCGCCTGCTCGGCTCGCCCGGGCCCCCGCACGCCGCCAAGCTGGACGACTCTGGCATCCAGACGTCGCCGAAGGGGGCGCCGGGCGGCGCGCTGCCGCCGGCCGGCGGCCTAATGACGCCGTACGCGCGACACCCGGAGCTACCCGGCGGCCCGGGCGGCTCGCCCCCGGGCGACTCGCCGCCCGGCAACGGCACCGGCCGGCCGGCCGACAAGAAGGCCAACGGTAAGGACGGCGGCCGGGAGAAGGTGTTCGTCTGCCAGGTGTGCAACCGCAGCTTCGGCTACAAGCACGTGCTGCAGAACCACGAGCGCACGCACACGGGCGAGAAGCCGTTCGAGTGCAAGGAGTGCCACAAGCGCTTCACGCGCGACCACCACCTCAAGACGCACATGCGCCTGCATACGGGCGAGAAGCCCTACCACTGTGCGCACTGCGACCGCCAGTTTGTGCAGGTGGCCAACCTGCGCCGCCACCTGCGCGTGCACACGGGCGAGCGGCCGTACGCCTGCGAGCTGTGCGAGTCGAAGTTCTCGGACAGCAACCAGCTGAAGGCGCACATGCTGATCCACAAGGGCGAGAAGCCGTTCAAGTGCGGCAGTTGCTTCGGCACGTTCCGGCGCCGGCACCACCTGATGCACCACAAGTGCTCGAAGGAGCCGCTGCTGCCGTTGGGGCTGACCGGCCTGCTGGCGCCCGAGAGCTCGCCGCTCGACGACGAGCTCGACGTGGAGGCCGACTCGGAGACGCGCTCAGAGGCGAGTAGCGGCGAGCGGCTGCGCAGCGGCGGCAGCGGCGACGACCGGCCCGACGAGCCGCGCCGCCGCGGCCGCAAGCAGAAGGAGACGCGCCGCCTGGTGCGGCCGGCACCGCTCAGCAGCACGGTCACCTCGCCGCCGCCGCTGACCGCCGGGCCCGAGCAGACCGAGCCGGAGGACCTGAGCGTGCACCGACGCAGCAGCGGCGGCGACGACGGCGACGACGGCGGCGCCGGCTCGCTGGCCGCCTCGGCCGACAGCAGTGGCGACGCGCTGTCCGAGCCCGCCGCACTCGATTCCAGCCTCACGTGAGCCCGCCGCGACCGAGGCGAGCCGAGCCTGGACGAGCCGAGCCTGGACGAGCCGAGCGAGCAGAGCCGAGCAGGGCCGGGCTCGCCAGTAACGGGTATTTTGTTGACAGATGAGCCATGTTCCTAGCCTCTACCTCAGGGTGCGCTGGGCCGCTGTCGGACTAGCCGCAGCCGGCCTGCGGGCCGAGAGAACCCACCGCCGCCGGCACCCGTCGGCGGCGCCACCCGACCGTCTATCGATCGGAAAACAGGGGAGCCGGCAGCCGCGGCCGGCGCCGTCCGCTCCAGGTCGGCCGCCACCATCACTCATCGGACGCGCGCCTATCGGACGTCTCGCTCCCGCGCGCGCACTCGCTCGCTCTGCCCCTCTCTCCCTCTCTCTCTCGTTCTCTCTCCCGCCATGTCCGGTCCGGCGCCAGCATTGCCATTTAATCGATCGGCCATTATATGCAGCGCCGCGGCGTCGGCGGCGGCGGCGGCTCCGCCGGGACTCGGTCCGGCCGCCCGGATCGGGCGCTTTTTCTGCGGTCGAGCTGCGAACGCGCTCCCTCCGGGGCCCGCCGCCACCGACCCGTCAATAAATGATCGCCGCCCGACGACTTGGGCAGCCGCTGTCAGACGCGGCGGTCCGGCGAGCGACGCGCGCTCCGGCGGTCGCGGCGCCGGCGGCGAGCACGTGACCGTCGCGGCCGGCGGCGGCGCGCGTCCCTGGCGCGCACGCACACGCAGCGCGGCGATGTGAAAGTGCGGCGCCTCGGCCGCTGACCCGGGCGGGCGGCTATTTTCGGCAACTCGTTCTGGGCCGCGGCGGAAGCCGGGCGCGGCGCCGGCCGCGGCGTGGGAGCGGCCGGAGGAGACGGGCGTAGGCGGAGGAGAGGGATAGGTGGAGAGAGGGAGAGGGGAGAGAGAGAGGGCAACCAGCGAGAAAAGGACGTGATAGGCGCGACCTTCCGTTTTGCCTCAGAATCGGCGGGAAATCACCGCTAGGAAGCTCGGATTTTCTTAACATGATTCATTCCGTTTATTTCTAAAATCAAAAAAAAAAACTAAAACATCCCAACGTTTTTGTTCGTTTTTACCGAGAGAGCCAGCGGCTGCCAGCTGCCCCGCCGATGTACAAAACGCCCGTGAGCCCCAAACGTCGGCACGCTCGCGGGTCTAGTCCGCCGGCCGCGCGGCCGCTGCAATAGCGGACTGCCTCGCCCGACCGGACCGCGCCGCGCCGCGCGCTCGTCGCGTCGCGCGCTATTCCGATGGCTCAGGGACGTGGAGCGGGCCGGAGGCGCGCCACCGCCTGTTGGTGTTGTCTGTGGCTGGCTCGGGGCGGCGACCGCGCCTGCCCGCGTGTCGGCCGGCCGCCGCCGGGCCGTTTCGCCCGCGGCCGCCCGTGTAGTTAGTAGGTGTCTTCCGATGTTCTGTGTCCCCACCCCGCAGCGGGCGGCGCCGGCGCCGTAGCGGCCAGGTGCGGTCCGTGTAGTGCGCGCGCGCCGTCCGATGTTACGCCGTCGTTGTCCTGTGACCCGGGCCCGGCCCGGGTGTGGTGTGATTGTGCGCGTGACTGAGGCAGGGACGCTACGGCTTCAGGTGAATGTGACGCTAACTGATACGGGTTGTCGGCGTGTTGAAGGGACGGCTGTCGCAGCGTGACGTCTCTCTCTCCTCTCACCTGTGGACTGCTCTACTCTACCTCCTCACCCCCCGCCACCCCACCCCGACCCCTCCCCGATCACTCCCATTCCCACCCGGCCATTGGCCCGTCTAACATCGTCAAACTCGGCTCGTGCGCGCCACCGCGGCGTTAAAACATCACACCTCCCCCCTTAAAACCCTCACCAATGGACTGCCCGCCCAGTTAGCACCACTACAGTACAAGCATCAAAACGGCATTACGCGGCGCGGCGGCCGAGATTAATGGCGTTTGGGAGCGCGCGGCGGCAAGGGGTGTCACCGCGCGCCGGGCTCCGCTGGCCGGCCCATTGTGGCGGCAGGTGTGAGCTGCGGCGCACGCGGCTACACGGCCGCCACGCCGCGACCCCCGGCCACCGGCGCGTGCCTCCACCGTCCGCGCGTTCCAGAGGGGGGGGGGGGGATGGGCCGGGCAGACGGGTCCGGTGAAGTCGAAGCCCCAGCAAGGGTGGGGTGTCACTGGGCTGGCGACATGTCTGTTGGCAGTTGGGCGGGTGCGACGCATTGGTTTTTCGCAATCACATCACGCAACTTCCCTCTGCCCTGAATCAACGCGCAGTGCGTTCATTTTGTCCCATTTGAAAGATGTTACAGACCCATACTGCAGTACATCGGTGGCGTGTCGTTGGCCCAAGTGTCGGACGCTCATTAGAACCTTCTCCCCGCTCGAAGCCACCCCAACTGCCCCCTCCCCATCCCCAGCGACGCCCGGGCTTGAGACCTCAGGCAAGAGTGCTCCAGAATTTTCACCCGGCGCCACCGCCAAGCGATAGCGTTTGCTGCTACCGACGCCCCCCCCCCCCCCCCCCAGCCCGCCCTCCACCCTTCCCAAATACGACAAGCCTTTGTGGGGCACTCGGTCAGGGGTCGGGTTAATTCGGCCTATTTCACCCGGCTGAAAGAGTGGCCCAGTTTGAAAAGGCTGAAATTAGTTACCGCGAGCCGTTGTGGCGGCCGGCCGGCGCTGTGCGGGCACCCACCCGTCCACAACCCCGCTCCATGGCAACGGGTTGCCCACAAAGGGCGTCAAATCGCCGCGCACCCTTTGATTGCCGTCTGGACGCGCCAATCAGAAGCCGCCCGGCCCCGGTCGATGAGTTCATCAGCCAATCACCGGAGGGGTGGATGACGTGCTGTCCGTGCTTTCCACCTTATAGCGGGGTATTTGAGTGGCGCGTGCGAGTGTTCGCTGTCAGCCGAACGCCGGGAATCAGGCTCGGTGTGGGCGATGTTGTGACGCGATGCTGTCGGCAGGGAATTTACGGGTCCTGGGGATGAGCCGACAGCTGTGTCGGGGAGGAGGCGACGACTGCGCCAGGGGCTCCGGGGAGGACGATCTGACAGCTGTTTCGGGACCAGGGAGGACGATCCGACGTCCGTTTCGGGGCCCGAGAGGAGGGAGGTACCGACGCCTGTGTCGAAGCCCATCCTTGTCAGGATACTCGGGGTCGGTGCCAGCCGTAGCCGGGGCTCGCCGCGGGGACAGCTGCAGTGCCCCTCATCTTGCCTGTCTGGCTTGCGTCGCGATGGTCCCTGGCCGGCTCCATTGCGTTATTGTTTGTCTTCCCTTACGAGGAAGAGCACTTAGCGCTTGGACGAGTGAGCTCGGGAGTTAGCCTTGCAAAGTGGCAGGAACTGCGTCAATTTCTAATCCTAATTCGGCCTAACTTTTAGTTTTGCCAACTTTGGTCGCATTTTGTGGCACCAGCTATCTACTCTGATAACGCACGCAAAATTTGCGAAACAGTGGTGATAAATAGTGAAAAATCATGTTTCTAAATACCGTCATACTATATCTCATGTCGGCAGTCAATGACTAACTATCCCAGCTAAAATCTAGCCATGGTATGGGCGTTCGAACCTTATCTCACCGGCAGGGGGCCCTCGCAGCCCCAGCGTTAGAGAGCAGAGCGCCACGCTGCCGGCCGGCTGGCGGCGTCGTATTGTGTGCGACCAACGGCCATCTGGACCGGTGAGGGGGTGCGGGGGTGGCTCGACGCTAGGACTGAGGTCGGACCGATCCTGGCGTGCCGGGCCGGGCCGGGCGGGCCGGACCGGACCGCAACGGACCAGACCGGACCGGACCGGGCTGAGCCAGACACCGTCGCCGTCTCCGATAAACGCCTATCGGGGAACGGGTTTTACGAGTGAGGCGCCACGATAGGCGCACCCGCGTGTTTGCGCTGCGCAGGCTTATCGCTTTATTCCAACCTCTGTGCAAACAGCACACACGCAAAGTTCGCCGCGATAGCCAATCGCTCCGGTTCCAACGCAGCCATGCCGGAGGCGCCCCTCCCCTTCCCCAGACGGGTGAAGGCCTCGCACCGGCGCTGTAGGCCCCCTGCGACCCCTGTCAGCGACCTGCTGGCACGCGGCGCTGGAGCTGGAGCTGGCCCGCGTGGCGGCCGGGCCGGACCCCGTATCCGCCACTCCACCCGGCCGGACTCCGCATCCGCCACCCCGTCCGGACACGGCGGAAGGCGGCGATTTTCCGCCGCCGTCGGCGAGCCGGTATGAATACGGGGCTTATTAAACTCGTCCGCGCCGAGGGCGGCGTGATTAGGCGCCGCCCCGGGCGCCGCGCCGGCCGGCGGCTCCCGGCTCGGCCAGCGCCCGAGAGCCGGCCGCGCCGCCCGGCCGCCTTCAATTATCGGCACAACCGAGCCAGCCCGCCAAGGCCATCAGCGGTTATCAACGGGCTGGTCCGTATCAGCTGCCCCGACCGGCCGGACGAACCGAGGCCCGCTGCCCAGGGGCCGGGGGCCGGCGCTTTGTTTCGCAGCCGTGCTTGAGCGGGCTGGACGGCGGGGGAGGGGGAGGGGGTTTAAGGAAGTTGACATAGGTCACCGTCGCTTCAAACGACAGTATTCCAATATCACTCGGGCCCACGCCAGCCCGTTGTAGGTTAGTATCGCCGCCGTGAGGGCATAACATTACCCTTGACGGTATTCACGGAGCACAACATTTCACAAGACCGCACTGAAAACGGTGTGCGGTGACCGGCAGTGTGTTCCGCCTGGTTCAGCGCTCCTTCTCTAGCTTCAGCGTTCGGGCTGGACAGTGTGGGCTGGCGCTTTTTCACTCCCGTGTAATTACAGTCCATTATGAGCCGCCGCGCGCCTCAATTAGCACTGCTAAGCGCCGGAGCCTGACTCTGACGTCATTCATTAGCTCCTCCCCGGGACGCCATGTTGGTTGGCGACTGACCAATTGGAGCGAAAGGGTTGACGGGCTGAGGGACAAACAGGTCGTCCTGCTCGGCCGCTGGCTGGGAGGCGGCCAGGGGAAGGGGGGGGGAGGGGGTTAGGAAGGGTGCTGTTTGTGGATGAGGGCCACTGTTGGCTAGGGGCCGGTTACAGTCCGCCTGATCCCAAACGTGTGGTCCGCCTCGGTTCACTGTTGATGTTAATTGCCCGCGTTTATGAACTGCGTCTGCCTGTATGAAAGCTGCGCGGCCTGTAAGCTCATCTCGAGTAGATTCAAGATGGATGGGAAGGGATTGGCGAGAGCTGAGAGCACGTGTCCTCACCCACACACCAACTCTCCACCTCCCAACCATATAGAAATGTGTCTCTGATCACTTCCCGCGCAAGATCACATTTGAAAGGTATTCCTAACGGAATTTTGTGTTGTGATAGCCCTAGCTATCACCGAAGATGTGAACAGACCTGCTGTAGGAAACGCGGTCGCTGGGTATGACCGATTTCACGTTAAAATAATTCTAAGCCAGCCCTCCCTGTGACGCTATTGACAAAAGTACAAAACCGAGTGGGCAGCCCAGTGCCAAGTTGTTTCCGCTGCGTCATCATGGTCTGTTAACCATCATGCCAAAAGTACAAGATAAGCGAGTACCTGTGCCACAGTCGCAATACCACATACCTCGAACCCTGACCTCACCAACGCCTGCTATCGGGTGGGACCACCCGCCGTCAGCGCCCCCTCCCCCCGCGCGGGCATCGGCCCGGCTGG